GAGTGTCATTATTATTGCAATTTCTCAGTAATAAAAACAGCATCAATTATTTAATGTCACCTCATGTGTCTGGGTTAAGTGGGGATGGTGAGAGACACAGGGTGGTTAGGGAGGGAGGAGGGAGGCAAAGCCCTTCCAGGGCTCAGGCTTCTAAGTACTTTGTGGGTGGGCAGAGTGTGTGTGAACTGCTCTTGAGATCCTCCTTCCCTTCTCCACTGGGGTGTAACTCGGGCCTTGCTTTAGCTGTAGCTGGCAGGGGACACCCATTCATCCTCTGACCTTTCCCTTGGCCCTTTGTCAGGGAATTTGGACCTGCTAACAGACCTCAATTAAGTGAACTACCTGCCATGGAGCCTGGGAAGCTCCGAGTGATGGCAGAGTTTTCTCGGCTCAAATTAACATGATAGGAGGCGTGCGTGGGCTAGGTGAAGGTCAGGCTTGCCACAGGTACACACCAGGTTGGTTGGCGTTGCTTCCCCTAAGAGCGGTGACATCCCAGTGGGGGAAGAAGCAGGGACAGGTGGACACACAGAAGATTGCTGCTGGGACTGGGAGCAGACAGTGAGATTTGGGACTGCAGGGCCGGCAGAGCTTTGTCACCTGATGGCACTTAGTTGCACTTTGTGTAGGGCTCTCCACTGCCACTGTAGACCACATCTGGACGTGGCTGTGTCCTGTCGGTTATGCTCTAGGCTCTTCCTTTAGTGACTCCAGGAACATCAGGAACCAGCCGCCATCTTCTTGTGCCTGGGACAGCAAACCCTGATGAAATCACCAGATTGGATTTCTTGCGGGAGATGAGCATATTATTTTCAGAAGCCCTTTTGATTTCCTGTAAGGCATATTCCTGGGCTGCGCTCCTCCCTTCCCTCACCCCCTCTCATTTTATTTCCTCTATCTTTCCCTCTCTCTCTCCTCCCTCTCTTTCCTTCTGGGAGGTGCTAATTATTCTACAGCTCCTGCCCTTCTGCATGGCCTTTCCAGAGCGGGTGGAAATTACTGTGTTTCTTCTGAGCGCCAGGGACTTGCCCCAAAGCCTCTGTCACAGAGGGCAGTGATCTCAAGTTCCATGGCCCTGATGGGTGTTGCCTGGTGCCTTCCAGCAGCCCCCTCCCTGTACTGGCTGCGTTTGGAAGAGTGGGTGGGGACGGATGGAGGAGGAGGGTAGGGTGAAGACTTGGGGGAGGGTGTGGTGCAAAAGGAAAGGGAGACATCTGGCTTGGGAAGGAGCCTGTATATCTGGCACTTTGACATTTGGGAGGCGCAAGGTGACAACAGCCACCCAGAACTGTCCGAAGCCCCAGGGTAGGGGCAGAAGGTGACTCAAGACCCTTCTGAGGTCAGTCAGGCAGGCTCTCAGAGCTGCAGGGGAGAGTCAGGGAAGTTGGCATTGGTCAAATATCGCCTGGGAAGAGTTCTTGCTCTCGCCTTGCCTTCCTCGTGGGGGCTGCACGGGTTGAGGGAGGTAGTGTGAATGGAAGAGCTTTGCAGAGGTTTAAAAAAAGCCATAGAAATATAAGTGATAATATCAAGTAAAGAGGGGTGAGCTGCCATCAGCAAACCAGGAGGAGGATGTAGAGAAGGAATTTCTCCCAGGGGTCTTCGTCACTCCCACACAAGTCAGGGCTGTGTGTATCTAGGGCTTCAGTGAGAAATGCAGTCCCTTCTACCTACAGAGGGGGCTTCTTGGAGTGAGGGGTGTGTCATCCCTGCAGGGTGATAGCCGCCTTAGCCCTGCAGGTGTTTCCTGCAGGTGGAGGCCTATCCCACCCGTAATTCCTTGACATTAAGGGGCATATTCCTCTTGATTTCCTCATCAGCAGTTGAGTGGAGAGTGGGGATGCTGCAAATCCCAGAAGGGAGTTGGAATGGAGCCCTCGGAGGCTGGCGCTCGGGCTCGGGCTCGGGCTCGGGGATGTGTGTGGAGAGCTTTGCCGGCTGTAGGGTACGGTAGCCGTCCGTAGCGTCTGTCTGGATGCTCCCTGAGGCCTCAGCTGCACAACTGGGCCTGCTCTGCTGATCGTGAGATCCAGCACATAGGAGAGGGTGGGTGCAGCTGGGGATGCTGGCTCTTTGTCTTGATTTTCAAAGAGTAGCTTCTACGTGGAGTTGGGATGGGATTTCCTTATTACACCCCTAACCCCAGCACTGAAATAAAGCAATACAACCAGCGGAACATAGATGAATAAAATGGCAAAAGGCTGTAGCAGGAAGGGGGATGTTTGTCTTCCTGTTCCTTGCCTCAAACACTGTCTTCAGAAGTCAGTGTGGCTTCTTCCCTGACCTGCACGTTCGCTTGGACACTGTCCTCCCACCCGGGTCTTCCCCGAAGGAGCACTCCATCACCGCATTGCAGAATGAGCTGGCTCATGTGAAGTGCTGGGACCTAGAGCATAGTACTTCCATACCAGGATGGCTAGATCACTATGGCTATGACTTAGTTTTCTTCTTCTTCTTCTTTTTTAAACTTCAATGCATGATTGCCTCTTGCATATCCTATACAAGAGGGGACCTGGCCTGCAACCCATCATTGTGCCCTGACTGGGAATCGAACCAGCGACCCTTTGATTCACAGGCCTGCGTTCACTCCACTGAGCTAGACCAGCCAGGGCTTTAGTTTTCTTCTTAACTCTTATCACTACCTGGCACTCTCTTTTGTGATTTATTGTCTGCTTATTGTCTGTCTTTGGAAGGAGAACAGAGGATTCACACAGATAGCGGACTTGGCTATTTTGTATCTCTGGAACCTGGAATTGTTCTAATGCTTAATAAGAATTTGCCAAAAACACGAAGGCAGGCAGGTTTCTTAGATAATAACAAAAGTCTTATCTTTACAGTAAAAAGAGTGTCTGTGAGCTCCCAGCCCTACCAATAATACAGAGGGCTTTGGGGACCTGAGCATCCTAAATCTTCCTAAAGTAGGGCTTCTCAACCTCAGCACTGTTGACATGTGGCCAGTCATTTGTCGGGGGCTTGCCCTGTGCACTGTAGGGTGTCTAGCAGTGTCCTTGGCCTCTACGCACTGGATGCCAGTAGCACCCTCTCCCCTGCCCCACATACAAAAATGCCCATTGCCAAGCATCCCCTAGAGGTGGTGGGGGTGAGGGCAGAGTCACCCCAGCTGAAAACCACTGTCGTCAATTAAAAGCAGTTATCTCTCTGGGCTGCCCCTTCTAAATGGGCTCCTGTCAAGTAACAGCTTTGAGCCCATTAATGCGGCTGCATTTCTCTGTAATGAAGTGCTTCTCTTCCCATAGCCTTCCCCTGGTTACGCATTGATCACAATATACAAAGGAGGACGGAGGAAGGAAGATCAGCTGACATGCTCTCATAGAGAAGCACGTCTTTTATTGCTGCAGCGATTCCTCAGATGTCAGCGTGAGATGTAGGATTAGAAATAATTAAAGCACATAAACCAACAAAGAGCTGCGACTGTATGGCACATGGCACAGCCACCAGCTGTCAGTTGGGGTACTTGGGGTTTCTGCATGGGGAGAGACCGGCCTTCCTTAAGTCCCTTCTGTCCCCAGGACTCCGTCCATCTGTAGTGTCAACCTTGAGTGTGATACAGTGTGACAGGCTGCCTCTTTGTGCTCCTCCCTGGGACAGAGCAGGTGACATCCTGCGGCCCCTAGGCTTCTACAGAGGGATCTGAGAGTCAGGAGGCTTTTTCCCCTTTTTAAAACAAAGTTAAATGAGGCATCGTTACCTTACATGCATTTACAGAGGATGTTGCAAATAAATGATTGGGACAATATCAATGTATCGGACAAATGAGAAGGTGAAAGAAGGGTTTCTGTTTCTGTTTGTAACAATTAGTTGGGAAGAAATAATGAAATAACATGTCTGAGTCATTCGATTCTCTTTCTGATCCCTGTGGGTGTGTAAAACACAGCCAGGTATAATAATTGTTGTGGGATTCTGTCACGTAAGAAACTTACCCAAGGAAACAGTTTTAGTGTTTGCTTATAAGTGGCCACATTTCAGTGACTGGATCACACACCCTTTCTTCTCCCATATTAGAGATATATATTTTTAAATGACAACTTGTGTTTGTTTGGAACTCTTTTTGTTCTTAAAAAAATCAAATGTTTTTAGTCCCATGGAGATGATTCTACTCACCTACCTTTAGCGTGCACGTGATTGGATGAAAGTGGGGGTGTTTGTGTGGGTGGGGTCCCCCTTCCTTGTTCCCCTCAAGCCCCTGTGTGTTGCAGGCTGTCAGCAGGGTCAGGGGGTTCTGGGTGATCTCATGGCAGCACAAGCTCACAGCCCCGTTCTGGGTTCATCTGTTTGCTCTTAACTGGAACCTAAGAGCTGGGACTTTGGTTTTGCTTGCCAAGTGTCCACAAAACTGGTGGTCAGTAAGTATTTGTTTAGTAAAGGTGGGGATCAAAATTAAGACTCTGCTTGGTCAGTGCAAAACCAGTCGAATTAGTGACAGAGCAGAGGGGTGACGTGGCCGTCAGAAGGCCACCTGGACCTCACTCCCGTGTGTCGTGGCCTCCCCGGAGGTGCGCTCCACGAGGCTCACCATTCCCCTCCTTCGAGGTGCTGCTGTTTGCGTTGCTTTCCCTTTGGTCTCACGAGAAGTGTGAAGATGGTGGATGGCTAAAAAAGATCGGCTTTGTTTGCTTCCTGTTCCAAGGCTGCCACCCAGGCAAACCTGGGCTGCTTTTGTCAGCTCAGGGACTGAGTCTTTGAGGCCATTTTCCCTGTGGAGGAGGGTTTTGATGCATTTTTACTATTTCTAGGATCCACAAGGACCTCTTAGGTGCTTTTTTTTTTGGTCACTCCGAAGTTCTATAGTCAGAAGGCTTGCCCTCTGCCTAATGACTCAGCCTGCTGACAGCTGAGTCATCCCAGGGTCTGTCCCTGGGATTGGCCCGGTGGCTCTGTGCTCTTGGTAGAGATTGGCGAGCTGCCCGGGCAGCTCTGAGCTAGAGGGCTCTGGGGAATGAAGGTAGCAGAGGTGTTACAGTGACTGCTTCTTGTTTCAGGGTGCGGCAGAAGACCCCCAGATGGCCCTGGCACTGAACTTGGACCCTGCGTTGATGAAGAAGTCTGATGCTGAGGGTCCCAGTCTGCTCTTCCCTGAGAGTGAACTTTCCATCCGGATAGGTAGAGCTGGGCTTCTTTCAGGCAAGCTCCCTGCTGCAGACCCTGGGCTGAGCTGGACAGGATAGATGGGGGCCTGGTGGCAGGAGGATGATGGGAAATGCCAGGGCCTCTGTCTTCTCCCTCCAAATGCTTTATCCCACTCTGCACATGGCTGAACTGGCATGTGGCCCCGGGCCTCTCTATCTCATTTATTTTCCAAACCACCTGCTTGCTGCACAGGAGGTAATAGTACCTTTTGATTGTCTTTCCAACTGGGACAGTGGATAAGGACCCCTCTGCTGGGATGGGTCTGATTTCTGTGAGAGTGTGTGGGTATCTGTCCCTCTATCTCCCTGTCTCTGATGGACTGTGAATGACCCTTCCCATGTCCATGACGTTCATCTTTTTGATTTGTCTGGGAAACTGTGGCCATTTCCCTCACTGATTCAGTTTGGAGCCAGAACACCTAAAAACACTTGTGGCCAAGTCATGCCTTTTAAGTTAGAGGGTATGCATCCCTTGAGAGGAATCGGGCAGCAGCTTCTGAATCTTTTCTGCAGGGAGGGGCAAACTGGGCGGTGGCCCACTGAGCAGGAGTTGAAGGTGTGCTAGAAAGATGACGTTGTCTTCCAGTCTCACCTGCAGACCCCGCACATTGCCCAGTCACTTCTCACTCAGTGCATTTGGCTAATTTAAGGGCCAAGTAGCATGAGGAGAGTATGCACTGTGAGAGTATGCAAGTCAAGCCCCAGGCACTGGGAGACGTTTGTCCCTCTCCCTCCTCACTTCTGTAGACCATGGATAGAGGACCTAAAACTGTGCAAAGGATGTTGCGAGTGGGTGCCCCTCCTCTGCACAGAGTTCTCTCTTGAGCGAATTGGGGAGAAATAGGCTGCAGACTGGCCCTGTCTTCACATGAGGGATTTCAGGGAGGAAAAAAAGGTTTTTTTCCTGTTTTCATGCTGGCATTTCAATTTGATACTTTTACCATGTGTAGATTAAGGGGATCTCTAGACTTCAGGGCCAGTCAGCACATAAAATTCGCAGCAATGCCGCAGCCAGTTCTTAACTTTCTACGTTCAGATTATGGCCTGCATGAATTATTCATGGGGAACTTGAATACGTTCTCCATTTGGGCTGGTCCTCACTGCCTCCCACAACTTCCTATGTGGGATATAATCAGGAAATAAAAATTCATCTAACATGAGCTTAAGTGATAGAGGCTTAGCACGAAACCTCTGCCCCTGCCTGCAATCAGACGTGCTATTCATACTCAAATCAGAACAACTTAGGTGTTGTCGCTGTTCTTCTTCTCCTGGAGCAGCCAGGACTGGCTGGTGACTAAGATGGGCCAGCACCCTCCAGGAAAGCTCATCATTTTTTATGGCGAGGGGTGGGAACGCGGGGACAGAGGGCTCTGCCCTTTCTCATTGGCTCTCCTGGCTGGTGATCCTGTGTTCCCCTTGAAAGACTCCCGTCCTGATTCTGAGCCTTCTTGAGGATGAAAAAGTTGGTCAGATTCCATTCTATCTCTCTTCCACCACCTTATCCTCAGGCCATAGGAGGAAGGGTCCATGTCTGTCAATCACAAGAGGTAAACAGTACTTACCCCTTCCTCAGACCTTTTCCAAAGGGACCATGGGAATATAGGGCCAGTGGCAGTTGGCGCTGCAGGAGAGTTTCTCAGGACTGCAGGATCTGTTTGGCCACCCAGAGTGAAGCAGTGAGCTGGGGCCCTGTCGGGGATGGAGATGCTGTCCTGTCCTCTGCTCAGGAACACCTAGACACAGCCTGTTACCAGGTTACCAGGCAACCCTTGGTTCCTGTGACTGTTTAGGTATAAAAGCAAATGCAGCCTGTGGGGGAGCTCAAAGATGCTTTGCCAAGAGGGGCAGAGCCCAGCCACCTCTGAAAAGGTCTCTCTTCTTACCTGGGCACACCTGGGGGTGTCAGGCAGCCGTGGCCTCTAACGCTGATAATGGCTATTTGATGACTGGCCTCATGCAGATCAAGTCAGAATACGTGTTATTTGTACCATCTGGATTTGCCCTTGAGCTTGCTGTAAATGGGGCAAGAAGATGGGCTTAATGGGTATTTAGTGAACAACATAAGCCTTTAAAAAATAATATTGGCACTGCTGCTATAATGTCCCATAATTGGTCCGGCAAGAGGACAAGCCAGAAAAACTGCACTGTGGGAGGAAGTTTCAGCTGCTCTGAGCAGCGGTGGCAGCCTGAGCTGGGACACGTGTTTATGAGATGCCGTCCTTTTTATGTCTCTGTGCCAACTGTTTCACGTTATCAACTATTCTCAAGGCTGGGGCTATTCGGGGACTTAGCTGGACCAGAAGTTCTGCTAAAACTATCCATCTCTTTACCTGTCTTCTTTCTCTTTCTCTCTCTCACCTTCTCCTCTCTCTTAACTATTTAACTCTCTCCAACTAGCTTTCTGTTAATTAAAAAAGTAATAACATAGATTAAAAATTAAGAAGTAAGTTTTCTTCCAGCTTCCAACTCCTCATTATGGTCCAGGCTTCCATCTTAGACACAGACAGTGTTTCTAATTTCTTTTATATCCTTTCAGAAATATTATGTTTTACAATTATACTTGGCACTTTGATGTGTACCTTGTATTTTTCACTTGGCCATGAATTTGGTCTTTGTTTTCTGGGACACTGATCAACTCATTCCATTCTTGTTATTGGCCATGACCTTAGCTAATGCGTCCCCACTTGATGGCTTTTTAGGTTGGTTCCAATCTTTTGCTGTTATCAAGAACATGGCAGACAGCATTTTTAATTGTACATCTCTGTGGGCAGTTATATTGTTGAGTAAATTCTAGAAGTGAGGCCAGGAGTTCTGTACATCTGGGGTCCGTGGATGAACACCAGAGGATGGACCTTTTGACATTTTTATGCCAGAAAAAAAAGTGTTTTTGGAAGGCAGAGGTTTATGATTTCCATCAGACTTCAGAAGACTAGCTCCCAAAGTTCACCTAGATCTTGAACTTTACTATGTCCACCTTCCCCACTCATCTGTCCAGTTGGGCATTTTCTTTCTCACCAGCACTCTTTTGGCTTCAGAATGGTAGTAAAAAGTGAATCAATCCATTCTTTTACTAATTAACTGTCCCATTTCAGTATGCTTATTTTGATAGAGGCAGTTGAAACTCTTCAAGGGGGAAGGTTTTTGGTTATTGATCCATTAGTGTGGGAGATGGAGAAGTGTCTCTAATTTTGTGGAAGTGTGGAAAGAACAGGAGTAGGCATCATTTTCCAGTAGGAAAGGAGGTGGATTTAATTTAGGGAATTATTTAGTTCTGAAGTGGCTATTTATTTTCCTTAAATCATTCCAAAGCTTGTTGGGGGAAAACGTGAATAGGTACTTAAGTCAGGGAAGCATGAGTTGTGAGAAACTGCTTAGAAACCAGTGTTTCCTTAACGTCCTGTCCTTTCATAATCAGAAAATCCACCTGGTGGTAATAATTGTACCTACACAGCCTGGCAGATTTGAAACCACGGTCGGTAAAATGAAAATGATGCAGACCCAGAGTTAAATGGGTGATAGATTTGGATAAACCACTGTCACCAGGCCATTGGCAACACTTGTTTGTATTTTAGTCTTAAACTCAATTTCCTTATTGGTTATGCTTCTACTGACTTGCTGGGCAACATCCTTCTGTGGAAATGGAACTGATCTTGGTGGAGAGAATTTGACTTTTCTAACTTAAGGTTCCCGAGGGCCTCAGCCCCCAGATGGGTACCTGTCGGGCTAGTGCCCTTCAGAAGCACGACGGAGTCCAGGTGTTCTTGGATCCCTTCTCACGGCACCCTCATTTCTCCTCTGGGTAGCATACAGTACTCTCCTCTCTCTTTTAATCTTGTACTCGGAATCATTCCTCTTCCTATTTTCCTCATTGAACTTCCTACCGAAGTGCCCCTGGGAAACTATTTGATAAACTGACGAAAGTGGAGCTACTAACCACTGACAACGTTTCACTCCTGCTTGTGTGTTTGCATTTGAACTGGGGACAGTTTCTCTAGCCATGCAGGGAACCCAGTAGATGGGTTTTCACACTGGTCAGCCTTTGGAGGCTTCAGTATACACACTTCAGTATACACGTGGGGCTGTGGGATGGCGGCCAGGCTGAGTGGCTTGGAGTCCTTTCCTGGAAGACAGCCTCCGGTTCTCTTTGTAAGCCAACCACGCGTACTCAACTCCGCACCCCTAGATTTCCTTGGTGCTGAAATTCCTTGGCATAGCCTAATCCTAGGGAACAAAAGAGGAACCTACTGAAGCAGCTGCAGGGCCCCTGTGACTATCTCTGCTTTCTACCTTTCCGAGTTTTCCCCGAAGGAGCTGCTCCATCCGTCACTGGTATTTCCATTGTGCTGGAAACTGAAGTGTGATCAACAGCCTGATGCAGGAGAAATTCTAGGAGAAATTCTGGGTGTTTCTTTATAAAGAGGTCTCCAAATGGGAAGACCTCCAAAGAGGTCTACTGTGTTTAGGGAACTCTTGGACATGGTAGTAATGTTGACTTTTTATCGGTAAGATCTCTAAAGGTGAAAGACTAACTTTCCAGTTATTCCTATAGATTTATGTCCTGGCATGTGGTTTCAGCAATTAGACTCTATCCCCCTCCCCACCCGCCCCCTGGAACTGGTTAGCTCAGGGGCCTTTAAGCATCTTCTGTCCTAATTGAGAGGAGTTGTCTGGGGACTGAAAAGCAGGTTGGGCCTGGCATTGCTGCCTCCTTTCTGCACCCTGGCTTTCTTCATTAAAAGATTAGGAATGAACCAAACTTGTGAGCACATGGCAGTAGCACTGAGGCTATTAAACGGTGCCCCATTTTTATACAGAAATATTTGGCTGAAAGATGAAGAGCAAAGTGCTCAATAATGATAATTACCAGGAGCCCTTCAGCATCATGGATGTTAAATATAATACTGAAATACCACCTCGAGCAGTGTGCTGTGTGGGTGGCTTGAGTGACTGTTAGTGTGTCCCAGCTCCTGGAAACATTATTAAGCGGATACATTT